ATATACTTCCAACAATATTTTTCACAATCAGTGAAGAATAGTATTTTTCACAATCAGTGAGTAATATTATGCAAGTCATGCTTATTAAATTTTCAATTACTAAGTAATGTTTATAAAAATAAAAATAATTTATGTATAATTACGTAACTAGTGATGTCATTGTATAATTATAGAATATTGTTTGCCTTAACTTGACCTCTTTTTTTTTTCTGTGTTATTTTCTTTTTTGTGTTCTTGGATTCTGTTTTTATTTGGTAAAAATCTGTCGGTTTGACGAGACAAATCTTACTGAAGCGGAAAACAATTATTGTCTTTCAGCCCAAAGAGAAAATCACTATAAGACACTATTTAAATCCGAGTTGTAAATAAATTTGTTTGAATTAAATTTAAATAGGTTAAAATAAATCAAAATTTTTCTGTACGAAAATAAATTAGATCAAAAGTAGACTAAACAATGCGTTATAGTCTAATTTGTGCAACTTAATCCAACTTTTATTAAAGCATTAACGGGTCACTTTGGGCTAAATATGTGGGTTGATATGTGTTTGTACTCTTCACAAATTAAAAAAAAAACTAATTAAGATTAGCTTTTCGGTTTCTCTAATGTGTATGATGGTTGGTTATTTTCATAGTAATTTTGAAATTTGAATGCTTCATTACATGGTTAAAGAATTGCTCAAATTTATATAAGCAAGTCATCGGTAAAAGTAAAATTATGATATTTAAGCTTGATTTATGTTCAAAAATTAATTGAGTATTGCTTAAATTTATATAAACAAATTATCAATTCATTCCTCAATTAATATTAAGATTGTAAACCCATTTTAAAGTGGACTGAAATATCAAACGGAGAATAATATGACTCTAATAGTATATAAAAATATGACACTAGGATATAGTTCAATAACAAAAGTTGGCTCAAATCTATATAGACACATTGTCCGTTCATTCACCAACTAATGCGAAACTATAACCTATTCTAACAATAAACCAAGAATAGTATTTTTCACAATCAGTGAGTAATATTATATAAGAGCAAATCAATTATCACGTTTATTAAATTTTCAATTAATAAGTAATGTTTATATAAATAATTTAATCTATAAATATGTAATTAGTGTTGTGATTGTATAATTATAGAATATTGTTTGCATTAACTTGACCTCTTTTTTTTTGTGTTATTTTCTTTTCTTTGTGTTCTTGGATTCTGTTTTTTTTTTTGTTTAAAAAATGTCGGTTTGACTAGACGAATCATAGTGAAGCAGAAAGCAATTAATTATTGTATTTCAGCCCAAAGAGAAAATCACTATAAAACACTATTTAGATAGGGATCGTAAATAAATTGTCTGAATTAAATTTAAACAGATTAAGATAAATTAAAAAATTTATCTACGTGAAGATAAATTAGATCAAAATAGACTAAACAATGGGTTATAGTCTAATTCGTGCAACTAAATCCAACTTTTATTAAAGCTTTAACAGGTCACTTTGGGCTAAATATGTGGGTTGATTTGAGCTACTAGAAATAAATGGATTAAGTTGGGTTATGCCCAAATTATACAAGTTGGGTCACTTGCCTAACTATACAAGTGATAAAAATAAATTAGCAATTAGGTCATCATTACTAACATAATTAATTAAAATGATAAATAATTTAAAATATCATTTAAAATGACAAAATGACAATATTTTTATAAAATAATATGTATTTTAATTTTAGTATATTTTAGTATTTTAAATTAATTTTATTTATGGAAAGAGTTATTTATTGGATCAAAATGCACACTAATAACCGTTTTAAACTAAAAAAATAGACTAATACAATTTACTTTTATCATTACCTCTGACCTTTCTTTCCCACATTTCACTTTTCTTCACCATATCTCATCTTTCAAGTTTAGATTCCTTCAATGTGCTAAATTATTGCTCACCAAGAAACTCTTTATGTTAAACTAAAACTATTTAGTAATTCAAGCAGATTTCTCGATCGGCAAGGTAATTTTCATCATCCGAAATTATTTTTTTTATTTGATGTTTAAAGCACTGATTATACACATTACAGATCTCCAGTCGTATTTTCCAAAATTTTCATATGATTTTGTTTAAATATTCATCATATATTTATAATTTTCAATTTTTTTGTGATTCTCTTTTATTTTTCAAATTTTGTAGATTCTCGAAATTCATTTATATGTTTATTTTGTTAGATGTTCAATACATTTTAATATTTGAATACATTTTTTTTAATATGATGTTGAATACATTTATATCATTATACAAAATATAATATAAAAACTAGATTGAATACAAATAATATATCTATTAGATGAATACAACTTAGGAAAGAAAACATAATTTTGAAGAGAAAAATAAAATACACAATAAAAAAATAAAATGAATACAAATGTATTGTTAAATAACTACAGATTCATTTGACATACCTATTGGAATGAATACGAACTAATAAAGAAATACAAATTTAATTATACAAAATACAACATGAAAACTAGGATGAATACAAAAACAAATGACAGATATATTGGGATGAGTACAATTTAAGAAAGGATACAATATTCTGGTAAATAAAATAAATACATTATGAGAAAAGTATATCAAATAACATATAAAAATACAATATGAAAAGTATCCATGTTCAAATTTGTAAATTTTAAAAAATTAATTTTTTCAATCGATAAAACTCTAAGGTATTATCATAAAGTTTCATAACAATAACTAGTATTGAAAGATAAAAACAAATAATGATCTTTAGGAAGAAGTAAGAGTCGAAGAGACCACGTATTTAGGTATCATAATATTTACAATTTTGTAAAGAAAGTAATAAAGATTTTCACAACTTAATTTAATTTGAAATATCTAGCTTGTTATTTCTTAAATTAAATAAAGAAAAAAATTACATAAATCAACTAAAATATTATCATTTTTAATAAATATTGAAAATATTGCTAAGAGATACTATTAGAAGTCACGATATTGTTGTTTTGAAAAATTTCCCTAAAAAAAATCAATTAAATAGTCGAATTTATATATAATCTATCGAAATTTATATAATAATGCATAACTATGTATATACATGATATATAGTTGTGTATTAGAAATGTATACACATTTATATTCACCATTTATACGAAATTTATATATAATATTATTTCGTCTTTCTGAATGAATTAAGCTTACAAATAAACGAACCATTATCCCGCCCAAATTCAAACAGATTAACAGAGTGAGTTTGATTTGGGGGGGGGGGGGTTGATAAGACCCATTTGATTATTGGAAGGGCTATCAACTCAATATCATTTATCAATACTTAAACTAGAAGTCAGCTTCCCTTTTAAGTTCTAACAGCCACGTTCCTCCATATTTTAAAATGAAAAGTAATGAGAAGAAGAAACTTTATTATATCTCACTTAAAACTTATTTACTTCTTTTTTCGTTTTAATTTATGTGAATTGCTTGATCGGACATAAGAAAAGACTTCGTTATAACGTGTGTGCGCTTATTAAAGTTATTTCAATACTTATTTTTAGTTTACTTTTCTTCACAATAAAGTATTAACTCAGACTCAATAAGAGTGAAAAATGAGGATTGTATCATTAAATATGGGATATATAACGGACTAAGAAAGTATATCGCATGAATTAATATATAAAAAAAATGTATTAATTTTCTATCTTAATATTAAAGAATGCTACTTATATAATCCTATATGTGATTTGAGTAGGTACCTACATGGTTATATGCTTTGCACGGCCACTTAATTAGTATATCATAATTTAAACTTATTTTAGTGAGTATGAAACATCTATCTACCTTCCTCTAATCTTATTAATAAGTATTTTTTTCTCTCTTTACTCCATTTTTGATTAGTTTCTCTACCTTTTTCTCACATGTTATGACTAATGAGTGACTAATCCACACTACGTATTTATAAGTAACACTACTTCTTAGATAGGTAATAGGCACCTTTCGAGCAGGATATATATATATATATATATATATATATATATTTATTTATTTATTTTTTTGATCGTGTAAGTGCCTACTTGACCTTATTAATTAAATGAATTAATGATAATCAGATCAACAAATATATTCTCCTTTGTATAAATGCTCACTAGTTTACAGGAGTTTACTAGTTTCGAGAACAATATCTTGCAAGAATGTAAGATAAAATTGTGTATAACATATATATGTAATTTAGTTAAAGTTTTTTTCTCCCACGTAACATAAGCTTAGTGTATCAAATGATTATTTTTAAAAGGAAATTTAATTTAAAATCTTTTGAGATGTATCTCGTCTTTGTCAACATTTTCCCATAATTCAACCAATTCAAGCCTAATTCATTTTAAGAGAATTCTCAATTAAGCCCAATTCAATCTCCAATTTAAATTCGTTTTAAAACTCTTACCATTTTTAGGATTTATTTATCAATTTGTTACTAAGGTCTTGAGCGGAAATTCGAATTGTAATTATAAAAAAGTTAAATATCACTACGTTAAAGTTATTGAGATTAATCAGATCAAATTGGGCGGATTAAGACCCAACTCATTTTTTAGTCTATTTGAACCCAACTCATTTATACCCAAAATAAACTTGGGCGGGTATGACCCAACCTCATTTCTATTTAGAGCACATTTTAATATTTTTAATTTCAATCCAATCCGTCCATTTGACATAGCTCGAACCAAATAACATATAGGTGTAGTATAATGTTTCTTTCTCTAACTCTTCCTTGAACTAAGCATTTGACATTTACAGTTATCCTCCGAAATCATAAAAGCAAAAGGGTGAAACACAAAAGCAGCTCAAAAGCATAGGCAAGAAGATAAGTAAAAGATACAACTTTTCTTTCTCCATTAACTTTAAATAAAGTTAACTGTCTCCTTTCACTATCTTTAATAGTATAACAATGCCCACTCTCATTTTTCCAAAGCCTCTCTCTGTTTTCTGCAACTTTGCTCTGTTTTTTTTTTGGAACAATAATGGATTCACTTCAAATGAAGAAGATTCAATCCATCAACAAGTACAGGAAACAGAGGCTTCTCAACAAGGTCATGCTCTACTCTTTCACTTCCATGACTTGCATTTTGATTCTCTCAAGTCCTATTTGGTATCCCCTTCTTCGCTCTTTCGTAAAATCCCTTCTCTTCGACTCTGTTCCTAAACTGGGTGCTCTGTGTTTCAGTTCTAAGTGCATTTTCTTAGTTGGAAACATTATAGTCATCGTTCTTGTTGGAGAGTCCAAGATTTTCAAATCAAGTTCTAATGTACTGAAACAGAGCTATGCAGCAGAGCAAGAAGATGAGGATAAGAACTTCATCTTTGTTACAGGAGAGTGTACGATTTCAACATCAAAATATTCTTCTTCTTTACCTGTTAGTGTAAATTTTAAATTTGGGGTAGAGCAAGAAGAGGAATTTTATTCAAAACAAGAAGAAGAGGAAAAGGGAAGTGTTAATCTTGAAAATGTGATGGATGGGATCAAGGGAAACTACTGTACAAGTAATTACAGAGAGAATGAAGAATTAGAGAAATTTGAAACAGAGCATAATGAATTGAGCAAGAGAGCTGATGATTTCATTGCAAGAGTCAATAATCAAATTAGACTTGAAGCTGTATCAATGATTTAGGCTGATCATACATTTTCCCAATTGTAAAACAAACTGCAACTTGCATAATTTGTTCCCAACTAATGATGTGAAGTTGTTTATACTGTCACTTAAATTACTCTATTATGATATTATAAACAAAGTTGACACTTGAATGTGTTAAGGTAGTGTGGAAAACATTTTTAATTTTTTTTTATATATGATTTGTTAAAATTTTAATTTTCATATGTTGAGTTGATCGAAAGTTTTAAGTTTTTATCCATGAGAAAAATGACTTTTCTTACTAGTAAGTGCAGGAAAAACAAATACGATCATCCATAAAATTGTTATAAAATAAACAAATTACTCGTTCGATTTTCATCCTTCTCCGACATAATTAAGAGAGCTTAATGTTCAAACCTAAGAACTTCATGACAAGGGAGTTATTCGTCCTAGTGTTTTTCCATGGGGTGCTTCAGTTTTGTTTGTTAAGAAGAAAGAATAGTAGCACGAGAATATGTATAGATTATCGACAATGGAATAGAGTCTCTATTCGAAACAAGAATCTTTTGCCTCAAATAGATGATCTTTTTGACAAATTGCAAGGGACAACAGTTTCCTCTAAAATTGATCTAAGATCTTGTTACAATCAATTGAAAATTAGGCATGAGGATGTGCCTAAGACAACGTTTAGAACTCATTATGGGCACTATGAATTTTTGCTTATGTCTTTTGGTTTGACTCATGAAAGCTGATTTATGCGCATGCAACTTTTATGAGTTTAATGAATGGGGTGTTCAAACTATTTTTTGATTCATTTGTGATAGTATTTATTGATGATATTTTGGTCTATCAAAAAGCGAAACAGAGCATACCGACCATCTCCGTATTGTTCTGGGTGTTCTTGGGAGACAAAAATTGTACGCTAAATTTTTTACGTGTAAATTTTGGTTAATATCAATTGCGTTTTTGGGTCATGTAGTTTCAAAAGAAGGTATAACGGTAGATCCTCAAAATATTAAGGCGGTTAAGAATTTGGATTCGGCCTAACTCTATGACAAAAGTTAGGAGTTTCGCGGACTCGCTAGCTATTATCGTCAGTTTGTTTAGAATTTTTCTTTCATTGCTACTCACTTGACCAATTTGATAAAAAAATGAGATAATATTTGAATGGACAGAAAAATGTGAGGAGAGATTTCAAAAGCACAAGACTCTCTTGACCACCCCACCTATTTTAGCTCTACCGATTGAAGATAAAGACTTTACTGTTTGTTGTTATGCTTCACATTCTGGTTTGGATAATGTGTTGATGCATGATAAGAATGATATAACATATGCCTCGCGTCAAATGAAGGTGCATGAGAGGAATAACCCACAACATAATTTGAAGATGGCAGCGATAGTGTTCACTCTTAAGATTTGGCGATATTACCTCTATGACGTTAAGTGTGAACTGTTTACCGATCATCGTAGTTTGCAACATGTGTTCACTCAAAAGGATCTGAATTTGGGACAACACAAGTGGATGGAGCTACTTAAATATAATAATGTGATCATCCAATACCATTTGGGCAAGACCAATGTAGTGACATATGCTTTGAGTCAAAAAAACGGCGAGTATTGATAGTTTAGCTTGCTTGAGTGTATCCAAGCGACCTCTGGCTAAAGAAATTCATACCTTGGAGTCTAAATTCATGCAATTGGACATCTGATACGCTCAAACTTACTTCTCAAATAAGAAGTAAAGCGGTCGCGTCAAGTAAATAACCCAACTAGTGAGGTTGGGATCGTTCCCACGAGGAAAATAGTCTAGACTTAACTCCAACTTGTTATTACTATTGTTCGGTTGATGAATTTCTTAAAAAGTAAAAGCATAAAAGGGGGGTTTTGTACTTCCTAATAAAATAAAAATAACTAACGAACTTGACAGAGACACTTAACAGCTTTTAATGTTGAGTTTTAATCAAGTAATCAAAGTAACTAGGGTTTACGTGTTCCCCACAGGTTCATAACTTGACAATTCTAGCTATATCAATTCTTTCCTAGTATCTTGCATGCAAAGTGATAAGCTATGTATTTCTAAATCCTTGGTCCGGCATCTAGAAAATCTCACTCCGCACCTTGGTCCGGCTACGTGTGTTGCTTTCCTAACCCTTATCCTTACCTCATATTAAGCATCATATTCGATATTTGACTCAGTTATTACCTCGTACCAATCAATACTAGCCTATTAGATAGTATACACTAAATCTATGTTAATAATTCTTTTCCTATTGTCTACCTCCTTGGTCCGGCAAGTAGCATT